TTTTTTTTTTTTTTGCCTAAGAATCAAACAAAGGATTTAACTTTGGACATATTAACAGATACATTTAATAGTTAGGAGGGAGAAATAGAAAGTAAAGATGCAAAAAGGAGTGGGTAAATTGGGTCAAAGAGGAAAATTGTATGGTAATGAGTAGGGATGAACTTTTAGTGGTGACCTTAACTTTTAGTGGTATATTCACTTGTTGATTTTCAGTGATGCACACCAGAAACTCATATAATGTTATAGTGCAATGTTACTTAAAAAAAAAATTGAGTTATTTTCTTTTTTTGGGAATGGTGTCTAGAAGCAGTCAGAATGGTCCAGGGCTTGACATACTGTTGCTATCCTACCGTATGGTCTCTAACAAAACTCCATTGAGCCCCTAGTAAAGATATTGTTTACCTTTTTACCAAGAAGTTTGGGAAAGCACCAAACCCGCAGGTGGTGTGTGCCCAGGACAACTTGGAGGAGACATAACATTCTCATGAGTTGTCAAAAGTGAAGAAACATGTCAACTGTGCTTAGGGTGCCTCCATATGTGCTAAAGATCAAGCAGACCTTTCTTACACAGGATCAGAAAATCACTATGAGTGTTGAAGGTATGAGTACAGAGTCAGGAAGCTAAATTAAAAAGTGAACCTTGTATAAGTAGTTAAAAAAATCAAAGCTTAACATTTTTTCCCCCTTAAGATTCGTTTTTATCCATTTATACATACAAGACCTCAGGTGTAGGCCAGAGGCGCAGTGGGATGAGAGGATTCACCAGAGACAGAGTGAGGAGCCAGAACAGGAATGTCAACTGAAATACACTGCTGAGGGGAGCAGCAGGAGAGACAGGACAGGTCTGCTGTGGCATGTGGGTCAGGATGGAACTCATGTTGCAATGGCTGGCAATAGCTTGATAGTGCTGGGACTTAACTCCTTGCACCACCAGGGAAGCCCAAAACTTAAAAATTTTAAAGATTTATTTATTTGTGCATACAGAACTGGGGTACAGGCCAGAGGCTCAGGGGCGGTGAGAGGCTTCACCAGAGACAGAGTAGGGAACAGAACAGGCAGATCGACGAAGTACACTGCTGAGGGGAGCAGCGGGCGGCTCAGGAGAGGTCTGCCACACCATGTGGTCACCTCCGGGGCAGGCGGGAATCGAACTCATGCAGAAGCGGCTTTAGATGCTCAATGCTGTGCTTTAACCCATTGCACCACCAGGGAGGGCCTAAAATTTTTAATAAAGTTAAATAACAATAAATATAGAGAAGAAAACAATTAAGAAATAAATTGAGCGAGAAATCTTAAAATTGAGAAGTTTAAAAAATCAGTATAATGAATGGCCCCCCCTGGTGGCGCAACGGGTTAAAGCGCATCATCCATCTGCCTGGTCTACTCCCAGCTCTGCCTCTAGTGAATCCTCTCACCACCCCTGCACCTCTGGCCTGTACCTCATTTCTGTATGCATAAATAAATTAAAATCTTTAAAAAAAATACTGAGTTAAAATAATCAGTATAATGAAAAGGGAGGAGGTTTTTTTAATATTTTTTTCATTTTATTTCTTATGTATTTTTTTCATTTATTTGTTTTTCCTTTATTGAGATGACTTTGCTTTACAATACTCTGTATGATTTAGGGACATAGGTTCACACTTCTACAAATGTATGCTACCGTCCCACTCCACCATCCAAGCACCCACAGTCCTTTACCATCGACCATTATGCCCCATCTAAGTTTTATGAATTCGGTTAAAGGACAGTAAAATTTAGTAATTATGATTATGACATGACATTCCCAAGTTCTGGTAACTGATTTACCCGCTTCCTTTCATAATGTGCTTAATGGCAGGCGAGCCTCTCTTCACAGCCTGCCTTTAGTTTTCACTCGTATTGAGGTTGCCCAAAGTATCATCTTTTTCTCCCCACCTGCTCGCCCGTCTAAATTCTTTCCAACACCTTTCAAGCAAATCAGTCTTGGCGAATCTGACAGATTCTCCATTTGATTCTCATGAACATTGACTGAATAACTTAAAGCCTATGATTCAGCTTTTTGCAGTTAACTAACATTTAATAGACACTTTTAATTTTTAAAGAGGATCAAATAAATTGATATACGTGAAAATAGCCTGCAAAAGTCTGGCAGACATTAGTATTGTGCAGCAACGAAGCGTCACCGATCTTCAGCTTTAACGTTCAACACGTTAAAATTAAAGTTTTCTGAAGAATTAGTGTCCTGTGCACAGGCAAATAATAGCCGTGGTTGGGCACTCCCATCAGATGGAGGCTACATCTTTCGCTTCTTTTGTCTTCCAGTAGCACTAGAACCGTCATGGCGCCTTCAAGAAGCCGGGGAAGGTCTTCCTTGCAGCCAGCAAAATGTTCGGCGGCCCCTGGACTGGACGGAGGGATGGACACCGAGAGGGCCCCAGTGAGGAACGAAAACACCGAACCCCGGGAGAGGTCTCGGCCGGACTGGACCAAGGGGAGGAGACGGGGTGGAAGAGTGACCGGGAGCGCAGCGGGCTACCCCAGGCACCGCCCACCCTCGCCGGCTGGTCCAATGGAAACCCAAAGGCCGTGGGCACCGCCCATCTGTTGGTCGGACGCCGCGAGGGCGGGACCCACAGTTCGGTTGCGCTGCGAAGCGCAGCTGTGAGGGAGTCTCTCTGATCCGGGGCCCCGGAACCAGAGCTGGAGCTGAAGCGCAGGCGGCGGGGAGCAGAGCGGGGAGGTGAGCGCCGACGGGATGAGGGGCAGGGGTGGCTGCGGCGGGCGGGCGGAAGGCTCAGCCTCCGCGGCCCGCGATGGTGGGACCCTGGCCAGAGGTGTCCGGGGGGCGGCCCTGCTCGCTCTGCGACCCAGGCCTGGCCCGCCGCGGCCGAGGGGCCGCCTCGGTCCGCAGTCCTTGGTCTGCCCTCCGGACCCGCTGCGGAGTGGCGGCC